ACACCCATAAGCTCATGCCCCTATACATAAAATTCCGATTCAACCTGTCATAAACCCTTAAGAACTCAAGCAGACAAACATGAATGGGTTTTCTCTACTCAATAGAAGTTGTTTCTGAATTCCTGGGTTAGAAAGTTTGCTACCTCGGAGGAGGTGTGGAGATTCTGCAATCCTGTAATACTAAGTGAACTTACAGTCCTCCATTCAATCAGTAAACAAAGGAAAACAACTGACGTCGTATAAGGTTATGGGTGCACACATGACCAAAGAAGGGTAAAACTTGTCGGTTCTTCGTGTATTTACTGGACCAGCAAGCTTTAGTCGTCTTCGGTTTTCAGGCACGCCCAACATAACATGACATAAACGCTTCTCTTGGACTCAGTGTAGGAATTCAAGACGTTCACAGTTTCCCCTTCCTTCCTTCCGTGTGGACATTCAGGAAATGTAACTGTAGCCATCGTCTTGAAAAACCACAAGCGATAGTTTCCGTGTGATTATACCCACAAATCACATATACCTCTTTCCAAATTCCTTGTCATGATGCGGTTCTACGGACTCATAATCACCACAAACTCTCTGCATTATCATAAAATACTTCGAAAACTGACTTACTTACTCTGACACGTCAACCACTTCCACTGTCTTCATCACAAATGCTCAATGTCTCGATGATTTCTTAGCTACTCCTTGCTATTAGGTAAATGAGAGGCTAACAGAAGGTCCACCGCATCCCTTTGCAATGCTTTATTGAGTAGCATACACACAATTCCGTCAAGGAGCACAAATGCTATGACGCTTGCAAACTCTCACTCCCCATTTGACTGTAAATACATACAGTGGGCTATAATAGACTGTCCACCATAAGTGTGCATGATCAGCAATAATATAAAAAGGTAAATATGAGATACACATGTATTCATTAGTACACTTAACACAAGTGATAACCCAACATCTTCCTTTAACCTTCCAAATACATTTCTACTGCATGCAAAGCAAGTTACACTTTAACAACGAGAAATTTTACAGAATGAACCTTATTCATTCTAAATTCACATTATGAAAGGTTAACTTACCCAAAGAGAGTGACCATACCACAAAACCTATAACAAGTCAGCTTACAGACAGTAGGCTGATACTGACATACCCAATGTAACGCAGTTAGACAGCTCGACAAGCTGCATAGTAAATCTAGCCATTAAGTGAAGAAGACCAACACAAATGAAAACGTTGAGTGAAATTACGCCAAAATATTCCTATTCTATGGAAAATTTGGACGAAATATCGACCAGCAATATCAGCTGCGCAACACTAAGTTATCATGACAACATGCTGTTTACCGGCACCCGCTGATAATAAAACAGCAAGTTTGAAGTCAACGGAAAGAAATAGAGTGTTCACAACAATCAGCCAAGCAATATGCCATCATATCGATATTATACAAAATATTGAGCAGAATACTAAAATCGTGTTACTAAATTTCTTACCCAGACTACAAATATTTGAGAGAAAGTTTGTTTTCGAGGAGAAATCACGCCACTTGATATGTCATAAGTTTTCGACAACACATTTACACATTGATAAGTTTCTTATTCAGACGATATTTCTCATAAGATTACTGCTTGCGATAGCTGTAGCGTTTTTAACTTGTTCTTTATTTCTTTCCTTTTTGTCTGCTCAAAGCAACATTCAATGTGCTTGATAGTTGTTTTGGTTCATCGTGGCCTTATGTTTTACGGGTAACATCCATGAAAACAGATCCCTGTTATTAACGTTTCTTTTCTCTGGACTTAGTATGGTAGTGTTCTTCTGATTGATAGTATGTTACTCATCTCCTGCATCAACCACTACTGATAAACTTTTCCCCAAATCTGAGTATTTCTGCCAATCTGTGTGATGACCCATAGTTAGTCTTTGATATTAATTTAATCTAGTTTGCAACAAGCTTCATGGTAACCTTCCATAGCTTATCAGGTAACCTGCACAATGTATTTTATGCACTATATTATTTTTGAATACAGTGGCCACTAAAATGTTTCTACAATACATAAGTAAATCCTGCGGCGCACAAACGTCTTACTTAAGTGTTTGACGCAATGCATGTTGAACAGAATTTTAGATGAAGTCGTTTTTGAAAACTTAAAAACGTACCTATGTTTAGTAAGGGATTTTTACTACCGGGTTAGAAGCTGACTAAACATATATGTACGTGTGAGTGTGGATGATAACGCTCTAGATGCAAAGGTAACTGCTTACCATTCTGACAGTATATCCTGAGGTAAAAAGTTAAGAATCATAGTGCTCAGAATTTTATTGCGGATCAAAATGTCGAAAGCAAAATAATTCCGATGTCCTTGGGAAAGGCTTTTTAAAAAATTCTGCATATTCACAGAAGTATGGCTTAATGTTTAACTAGCAGAGTAATAAATACAAAAATAATATCATCCCTGTTGATGCCAAAAGTAGTTCGGTTGAACGTAACATTGTAGCTGATCGACTGTTCTTCTAAACCCTCTCATACAGAGGTGTTAATATTTTTCAAATACCACGTGTCTGATCCAATCCAACTAGATATGTGCTGAGGTACATATGCGTATTTGTAGCATTATCGTGAGGATTGAGGTCGTTATGCTCCTATATGGGGCCGTATCTGTTGCATGTACCTAGTCAGGTCTAATGAAACATATTTTATCAGTCTAAAATATTTCCCAGGCGACAGCGGAGCGATTCCACACACCGGCCTTTCATTACAGTAGCTGACGTCCCGATTGACGCTCGAAAATGTCCAAAGGATGTCTAATGAGAATTTATCGCTGCATATATCATCATCTTTCAGTGTTATCAAAACAGCTTTGGGTATGTCGACAGAATGTTTCAACGGTAGTATGAGGAGTAAGATGGTACGCAGCAGTTTTTGCGCGTTCGACTCCAAAACTTTCAGGTAGTTGCTGAAATACGCAACCCTTGAATTGTGCACGTCTGTTTTCAATGGTGATACGCGGGACATCAGACTCGGAAATCCAGTATTGAATTGTATTTCCTGCTACTGTTTTAAGACTTTTCATCCAGAGGTATTGCTGTTGGTTGCCTTGTAAGTCTGACTACACATGCTAAAATTTAGGTGAAGTCAGCTGATTGTGGCTGTGATCCAATGGTGACATCATGTATACAACCGAATCTACCGTCGGCTGCTGGTAGTTGACAAAAGAAAAAGTCTCTTGTTTTTTCATCTCTAGCATCCATATCAAGCTCTGAACCTCTGACAAAAATCTCGATTCATCGTTAGTTGGATGTCCTGATCATTAAACTTCGCCGTAGAACGAATATGGGAATGAGAAATGCCATGCACCTTAGAGAAAACCGTCTCCTAGAGAGTAGAATAAAATGGGAGTGGTTTGCTTTTGGTCACGGCACAAGAAACGGATAAGAAGTCGTTGAGCATAACTTCTTGAAATCATAGTGAAGTATTGAGATTACCCGTAAGTTACATTACGTCCTCAACCATCACCTGAAAATATGCCATGTCTACAGGGTCGATATGGATGCTTTCTAAGGCGTTTCATTATAAAAAAGATATAGTATTGGGTGCCTCATTTTTATCTCCTTTAGCATGCCTTTTGTATTAATTAGTGTATAATTTTGTATCCCAGAATGTGTGGGGATTGCATGGAAAATTCACATTTCCGCGGATTTATTGGTATGACGTATTCACACAACTGATCTCTAGGTTCTACTAACGTTCTCTTTCAGTTTTTCTGGCAACAAGTTAGTTGCGATTTTGTTCATGACCATATGAGGGGATTTCAAGAGGACAATTGTAATCTTTCCACTACTGGTGGCACAAGGTGGTAAAAAGTGCTATCTGGTACATTTAACTTGCACACCTTAGTCAGTAAATCAATAAGCCTTAATTTGAGTCATCATCCTTTAAAGTCAACATCAACATTAATTCGCAAGATGTCACATTTCACCATATCAAAGTAGAAGGTTTACGATCTAAAGAAAAAAGTCATCAAAAGTAGTGGGAAATTGCATAAAGAGGAGGAATAGATAGAACAATAACGGAATTCACTAAGACGTTTATGAGCTACTGAGAACGATTCTGAGCTATACAGCACACAGTCTCCAACCACGATTCTGGCTATTACGCCGACCTAAGCCTAGAAATCTAAATTTCCTTAAAATAACCGGATCAACAGTTAAGAACTCCATGGACTGATGCGATATTTTGTCCTAGCAGCCTCTAAACTTTTCCAGCTTAAATCTACCTTAGCTAACATTGGACGGGGGATTAGACGGTGACCAAAAGTGCGTAACGTTAGTCTCATCTGAGTCAATGAAGGTTCGCAAACTCACCACGTACATTAACTGTTACTTCTGCGTTGGTACCAGAACACATGGTCTATGCTGTAAAGGTATCAGCAGTGCAAAGTCATCATCTTTAAAAGTAACAAGTGTCGAACTTGTCCAAACATTCATGACTTTAGATTTGAACTGAGGCTATTCAGTTTTGGAGATGCTTCCATGCCTCATTATATACAGAACAAATGAATCTCTGACTGTTTCTCTGAACCGTGTAGGGAGGTGTAAACTGCCTGGTCGGAGTTACCGAGACGATAGGAACCAGTGGTTGACGACTCCTGGTGAAATGACTGGAATTCGGTAACACTGGCGGAGATGTGTTTAGCTCTTCGACATCATCCAAAGCTTGAAAGTTGTAAATAACTCTCATTTTTAAATTCCTTCTCCTACTATACACCCATTGTAAGTCAATCTTTTTCGATCCACTTGTTCTTTTCATGCTATTGTGGAGTGTGGTAAATTCAAAGTATGAGTTTCTGTGCGAGATTCTACGCTGGATTTTGCCTGTCTTATCACCGTCAATAAAACTTACAGTTAAAAATTCTTTATATTAACTACCTATCACAGTTTTGTAACTACATATACTTCCAGATGGTTGTATACAGAACAAAAATAAGTTGGATATATGGATCTCGACGAACAAGGATTTTCGGTTGTATGAAGCATAAGCAGTCAGCATCGAAAAGTAGTTCTAACTCAGGCCACATAAATCACCTATTGTATTACATTTATTTATAAATTAGCCTATTTTATTGAAAAATCATAAACACAAGTGTAGGCTGGTTCTTTTTGACCAAATTTACACCATAAACTAATAATATTCCTTCAAAATGCAATTATTTTTAAAAGCATATGTACAGTGTTGAAATTCAAAAAATTACACCGATTCCGATACAGAAAACTAAGATAATTTTTTGCATTTAGGCGGGAAAATCACCTGTTTAGTTAGAGTAGACACAAATGAAGGCATCTGTTTTTTACCAGAAAAAGCGGGATTAGCTGCAGTTGACTCATATTCATAAGCAACTTCATGATTAACGCGTGTCATGATACTCAGTAAATCCAATGTATTTCCATAACGTATTAAAGCATTGGACAAAGCTTGTATGAACCAAGAACCATTGACGGAGTTACGAAAAGCATAGTAACCTGAAGAAGAATGGCAATGATGTTTAAAATATTTATCCACTCAAGTAAATACTTATTCGTAGTGAACAGCTAACATATGGTGTTTTGAAGTTTTTTTTGAAAATAAAAGTAAGTATCCTTGAACCTCGTCTGGTTAACTAGTTCACTAGCCGGTCCTAAGCCCCCGTAAAAAGGGAAGGTTGGGCATAGGGCTAGCAACCCTACCCCGCAAAACAAATCTAACCGCTAAAGAAAATTCAAAGCATTAACGAAATATAAAAAATAATAACAAAACTATTCCTCGCTGGAATCGGAGAGACGAAATGACGCCAGTTGGTGAAAGCCTTTGGGAAGCCAGTCGATCGATGTGTCTTCTCTCAATGAAAGCGAAAGTAAACGTGGGGACATGGAATGTCCGCAAGATGTTTGAAGCTACCAAGGCAGCCCAGATTGCAAACGAGATGAAGAGGTATCACATTGAAGTGCTTGGAATTTGCGAAAGCAGATGGAATGGGAGTGGAATCTTCAAACTGTCAACTGGAGAATCAATAATCTACTCCGATATTGTCACACAGACGACAACCACAAGCACACTGAGTTTTGGAGTGGCTATCATGATGTCCCCGAGAGCACCGAAGGCTCCCATGTGGTGGGAACCAATCTCTTCCAGGATCATGACAGCAAGGTTCAACTCAAAAGGAAGGAAGGTCACAATCATTCAATGCTATGCACCTACAAATAATGCAGAGCAAGAGAAAAAGGAGGAATTCTACAGACAACTTCAATCAACACTGGACAAGACCTCAGTTGGCGACATCAAAGTTCTAATGGGTGGGGTGACATGAATGCCAAACTGGGAGGGGACAATACAGGAAGAGAACTAACCATGGGTCGAGAAGCGCTAGGTGAAATGAACCAGAATGGAGAATTGTTTGCAGAATTGTGTGCATTCAACGATTTGGTGATTGGAGGCGAGGCAGTGTGTTCAAGCACAAGGATATCCACAGAGCTAGCGACATGTACTTGATTTCACCAGACACCAGGACACACTACACTAAAAATCAGATCGACTTCATCTCAATCTCAAGAAAATGGAGACGTAGTCAGTCTACTTGACACAAGGTGAAGAAGAGGAGCAGATGTAGGTTCAGACCACTCACCATCTAGTGCAAGGAACCTTCCTGCAAAATCAAGTTAAAAGCCCTCAAGGAAGCTGGTGACAGAAAACAGTTCAAGTACAACACTCGGAAACTGAAGGATGAAACTACAAAGGAAATCTTCACGGCAGCCATGAAGACAAAATGGGAGATATCGAGCAACATCCCTGAAGAAACCTGTGTGGAAGTACACTACAAGTCTCTGAAAAAGATGTGGAAAGAAACCTGCACAGACGTATTAGGAAGGAAGAAGAAAGAAGACAAGGAATGGATCTCGACAGATACACGGAAACTGATAGAGGAGTGGAGGATGGTGAATCGACCACCACCACCTGCACTTCGTCCAGAAATACCACCTGCAGCCGCTGAACTACAAGTGAACATAAATCCTCCAACAAAAGTCGAAGTCCTGAACACCATAAAGCTACTGAAATGTGGGAAAGCAGCAGGACCAGATGGGATCCCACCAGAAGCACTGAGAACAGACGCAGAGACAACAGCGGACATGCTCACACCACTATTGCAGGTGTGGGAGGAAGAGAAGGTACCCGCCTATTGATAGGAAGAAGGGTTACCTTGTCAAACTCCCAAAGAAGGGAGACCTCAGTGTTTGCAAGAACTGGTGCGGAATCACCCAGAGCAAGCAAAATATTAGGCCGCATCATCCTGGAGAGGATAAAGGATGCACTGGATTCAAAACTACGACTGGAACACGCTGGCTGGTTTCAGGAAGTACAAATCATGTGCAGACCAAATTGCAACGCAACGCTTCGCATCATCATACAACAGAGTATAGAATGGCAGTCAACTCTCTACCTCAACTTTATCAACTTTGAGAAGGCGTTTGACAGCGTCGACCTAGAGGTAATATGGAAACTGCTTCAAAACTACGGAATGCCGCAAACCTTTATCAGCCTCATTCAACAACTATATGAAGACTCCACATGGCAAGTAATTCACAATGGGAAGCTCAGTGACGCTATTGAAAAGAAGGCAGGAAGGAGTAAAACAAGGTTGCCTACTATCCCCCATGATATTCCTGATTGTGGTAGACTGGATCATGCAGCAAACAGTGAGGAGCGAAAAGATGGGCATACGCTGGCTGGACAGAAGAAAAGACCCCAGGGGAAGATTTGGATCCCACCCATGATGATGACTTGCGGTGGACTGCGGAAAAGATCCTAGAGGACTTGGATTTCGCCGATGACTTGTGTCTGATGTCTCACAAACTTGAAGATTTACAGGCGAAAACTAACAAGTTGACAGAAGAGGCGGGGCAGCGAAGACGGGACTTCAAGTGAATATAGAGAACACAGAGGTGATGAAGATACCCAACCAACAACAAGCTCTGATCACCATCAATGGGATAAACGTAAGGGAAGTAGCCTCTTTCACCTATCTAGGCAGCACTGTTTCAACTAAAGGAGACGGCACAGACGAGGACATTAAAGTCAGGATCGGTAAAGCAAGGCAGGCGTTCATCAACCTACACAACCAGTGTGGAGATCTTCTGCACTGAACTCAGCATGTGGAACAAGATGCGGGTTTTCAACACCAACGTCAAGTCAGTTCTCCTGTATGGTTCAGAGACTTGGCGCGTTACGAAAAGCATTTCCAACAAACTACCGACATTCATCAACAACCGTCTAGGCTCGTTACTGAAGATCAGATGGCCAGAATAATAAGAATAAGCAACAAGGAACTCTGGGAACGAACCAATTAAGAACCTATCGCTCAACAAATGTGCAGAAGAAAGTGGAGATGGATTGGACATACACTGAGAAGGCCGACTGGGGACATCACGCGTCAGCCCAGGCCCTCGAGTGGAACCCCGATGGGAAGCGACGAGTTGGGTGTCCGAGGCGAGGGTGACACGGAGGAGATCGTGCGAAGAGGGAATGAGAGCTTCTGGGCTGTCGTGGAGCCAGGTTCAAAAGATTTCAAAGAACAGAGTGCATTGGAGACGTGCTACTGAAGCCCTATGTTCCATTAGGAACCCAAGGGTCTAATAATAATAATAATAATCCTTGAACTTGAGTCTTTGAAACAAAGCTGATATTCCGCCTGAGATTAGAACCCGCACCACCCAGTCCTAGAGTCAGAGATGTTACTATTGAGCCTCTCAGGTTGCGATTGACCTCCTGTAAGTATTGTCAAGCCACCACTTAGTTTGAAAGGATGGAAGAGGAAAATAAAAAGTGCGTGTAGGTTTTGGGGTGGTGTTTCATCAGACTGGCACAAAAAGCTGCAATCTGATCTAATTATTTCGAGGATAGTTATATGGTGTATTGCTGTACCTTGAAAGACCCATTGTTATCTATGGTGATGTTTTCTCTTAATTTTATTGTTAACTTGAAGAATAAAATATTAGAAACGTTTTTAAAATGCATGAGAGTACCTAGTGGAATGGTTAAAACAAGTTCAAATGCAACAATTCGATGTAATACAAACGGTGAAAAAAATTTCTGATAGCCTAAGGTTTAAACAGGTGGCTTATTGTTCATTCAAGAATCAATTAATCGTGTCGGTTTCAAATTTCTGATAGGAAATTCAAAATCATATACATTTTCAAATACGCTTTACCAAGAAGTGGGATATTTCAGTTCATTAGGATTTCTTAACCTTTTTATTTAATGCTGTACGATTTACAGTCTTGGAATAACTTATGAATTAAAAGTTAATTGATGAATGTATGTGATTCTCATATCTTAGTACAAAGTCATTTATTTCATTTTTGCAAGCGGGAGTACCGTGAGAGTTTGTTACTTACATGTATATATAAATCAGTCAAATAACAATAAGTATTATTACAAAGATCACGTGTAATATTTTCGTCTTTCGTTGAACTTAGTTTCAAAGAGGAAATCCATGGCTTGTCAGTTGTCTGGTTTACAAGTCAGACTTATATACGAAATTACATTATTATAATAATATTATTAGTCCCTTGGGTTCCTAATGGAACATAGGACTTCAGTAGCACGTCTCCAATGCACTCTGTTCTTTGAAATCTTTTGAACCTGGCTCCACGACAGCCCAGAAGCTCTCATTCCCTCTTCGCACGATCTCCTCCGTGTCACCCTCGCCTCGGACATCCAACTCGTCGCTTCCCATCGGGGTTCCACTCGAGGGCCTGGGCTGACGCGTGATGTCCCCAGTCGGCCTTCTCAGTGTATGTCCAATCCATCTCCACTTTCTTCTGCACATTTGTTGAGCGATAGGTTCTTAATTGGTTCGTTCCCAGAGTTCCTTGTTGCTTATTCTTATTATTCTGGCCATCTGATCTTCAGTAACGAGCCTAGACGGTTGTTGATGAATGTCGGTAGTTTGTTGGAAATGCTTTTCGTAACGCGCCAAGTCTCTGAACCATACAGGAGAACTGACTTGACGTTGGTGTTGAAAACCCGCATCTTGTTCCACATGCTGAGTTCAGTGCAGAAGATCTCCACACTGGTTGTGTAGGTTGATGAACGCCTGCCTTGCTTTACCGATCCTGACTTTAATGTCCTCGTCTGTGCCGTCTCCTTTAGTTGAAACAGTGCTGCCTAGATAGGTGAAAGAGGCTACTTCCCTTACGTTTATCCCATTGATGGTGATCAGAGCTTGTTGTTGGTTGGGTATCTTCATCACCTCTGTGTTCTCTATATTCACTTGAAGTCCCGTCTTCGCTGCCCCGCCTCTTCTGTCAACTTGTTAGTTTTCGCCTGTAAATCTTCAAGTTTGTGAGACATCAGACACAAGTCATCGGCGAAATCCAAGTCTTCTAGGATCTTTTCGGCAGTCCAGCGTATCCCCCTTTTCTCGCTCATACGAAATTACATACCACGTGTTAATGTAAGTTTTTATACGAATAAAAATCAAGGAATTATCCAGTTGTTATAGGACAAATAAACTAAATCCTAACCAGTTTTAAAAACTGAACGTTAGTAAAAATCCTCTCCATGTGTTTACTTTGTTTTATCGGTATTCGTATTCACTGACTCACATTGCATACCTAATTTTTATCTTTGGTCTTAATAACCACTTATCAGAAGCTAAGCAATATACTGGGTACTAATGTTTGAGTCAAATATCATATATTTTCGGATTTAAATAATATGAAGCAGGGGACTTTAAAAAAAGTAAGTTATATAGGAGATAAAATCATTACGTAGTTGGTTATTGGCAAATTATATTATTGTTTACAACGATCATCACTCGATATTGGGACCTATTCAGTAATCTTATGCATATTCATGCAGTAGATAATGAGCCATACCTATTGTATGAAGGCTGCTGAAACCTCAGTAGATGAAGCTAGGTTAGGACTCGTGACCCATTGGTTGGAAATCAAGTGCCTAGACCAAGGTAGAATTGAATGGAGATGAAAAGTAGCGGACAATATAATGTAGAGGAAGACAAAATTTATGCATTCTGTACTGTATTACATCAGGATGACGTAATAACAATCAAGCTATTTCACTATGTAGCACCAGTGGTAAAACTGAAAGTTTATAACAATGAATTTTGGCGTATTTAGCACTATGAACTAAAATCATAAGCGGTTACCTTCAAACCTATTCCCTGAAACAAGTATAAATTCTTCAACGTTCTCTGGCATATAATCAAAATAAATCCGAATGCATACACTTTTACTGTACAGTAATAACAAGGGTTGAGTACAAAAATCCAAGATAAAGTAGAAGTTTACAACATTCAACATAAAAGTCAAATCAATACCTGGTTGAACTGCGTACGCAACAAAAATATCCGCTTCAATCGGGATTCGTCGTGGTGTAGTTAAAGAAGCCGGACCTTCTGATTTATAGCTTGAAAACGGTCCATCACAAACGAATACACCATCGTCAAGTGCCATTCCACGACAAGCCTAGTAAAATATATAGATGATCTGTTGAAAGTGATTTATCGTTCACATGCAATATATTCTATATGGATTTACTCAACATTGAGAATAGAACCTTATCAATGCAACCAGAAGGCATTATACAGCAGCAATTACAAATCAATAACTTAATGTACATCATCTTCTTAATTGAGAGGTTGAGTTTGAATATTAACGTGTAGTTTAACAAAACATTTCTGCAAGCCTACTGCGAACCATGCAGAATTACTATTCAGTTAGACAGACAGAGAGAAAAAACAACGTAGGAGGTCACACACACTTTACAGTAGCATGAAAAGAATCAGTTGACAGAAAAAGGTTAAGATCAAAGTAAACAAAAGTGTGTATGATATAAGGAAAGTCTACAAAAATATTCAAGCTTCAGAAGACGTCAAAAGAGTGAATACACCTGCATCATTGTGACCGATTTCCAGGTAGTTAACTAATCAACCATGAATAAAACATGTCCACTAGCAGAAGTAGGTCAATTCAGTTGAGTAATTCAAAAATATAAATAGCATTATGCGTATTCTTACTTGATACCAAATTATCGAGTCAGTTACCATCACAGAAGTTTCGACGGAATAAAACATAGTAAAGTGTGTGTGAATTTGTGCACTAACATAACACTGAAAACGATTAATGATAAATGATAGGTAGAAACTTCATATCGACTGCCTTGCAACAACATAACACAGTGCACCAATAACTTAAGTGATCATACTGAGAACTTTATCAGCAGGATTCAGTCAACATGTTATAACCTGAATGTTGACATGCGTTGGCGAATAAACAAGCGAGATCATTTAGAATCCATTTCACTTATTCAAATTGTTGTTTCCCCTTTGGGTTCCACTCAAGAGCCTGGCGCATGGCGTCCCCCAGTTGGTCTTCTCAGTGTATGCCCAATCCATCTCCACTTTCCTCTGCATATTCGTTGAACGATAGGTTCTTGCTTCGTTTACAGCCAGAGTTCCTTGTTGTTTATTCTTTCTGGCCAACCATCTGATCTTTAGTGTCAGTATCGAGCCAGAGTAGGCGGCCGCTGTTAATGAATGTCTGTAGTTTGTTGGAAGTGCTTTTCGTGACGCGCCAAGTTTCTGAACAATTTAGCAGCACTGACTTGACATTAGTGTTGAAAATTAGGATCTTGTTCTTCGTGTTGACTGCAGTAGACCTCCACACTGATTTCAGATTAATGAAAGACAGTCTTGCTTTTCTGATCCTAGTTTTGACATCTTCGTCTGTGCCGCCACCGCCGCATGTAGCTGAAACGATGCTGCCTAGATAGGTGAAAGAGATTACTTCCTTTAGATTTCTCCCGTTCATGGTGACTGGAGCTTGTTGTTAATTCTGTCTTCTCTACGTTCACTTGAAGTCCCGCCTTTCCTGCCTCTTCTGTCAACCTGTTGGTTTTTGTCTGTAGATCTTCGAGTTTGTGTCACAACATATTAGACATAAATCATCATCGGCGAAATCCAAATCTTCTAGGCTCTTTTCATCCGTTCAGCGTATCCCCCTCTTCTCGCTCCTCATTGTTTGTTGCATGATCCAGTTCACCACAATCAAGAAGATCATGGGCGATAGTAGACAGACATGTCTTACTCCTATCCACTGTCTTCACTTCAAAGGCGTCGCTCAGCTTTCCATTGTGGATCACTTGTTATGTGGCATGCGTCTTTATATAAGTGTTGCATGAGGTTGATAAATATTTGTGGCAATCCGTAGTGTTGAAGCAACTGCCAAATTACTTCTCGGTCGACGCTGTCGAAAGCCCTTTCAAAGTCGATAAAGTTGAGGTAGAGAGTTGACTGCCATTCTATGATGATGCATAGCGTTTCAATCTGATCTGCAGATGATTTGTTCTTCCTGAAGCAAGCCAGCGAGCCTGTCCCAGTCGTAATTTTGATTCCTCGCCAGTCCTTGCAAAGGCTTAGGCCCCCCTTCTTTGGAAGTTTGACAAGGTAGCCCTTCTTCCAATAGCCAGGAATTTTCCTTTCCTCCCAAACCTTCTGCAGTAGTGGTATGAACATGTCTGCTGTTGTCTATGAGTCTGTTTTCAGTGCTTCCGGCAGGATTCCATCTGGTTCTGCTACTTTCCCAGATTTCGCCCATTAGAATTTTGATATCGCCAACTGGAGTCTTGTCTAGTAGTGATTGCAGTTGTCTGTAAAATTCCTCTTTCTTCTCTTGATCTGCATTATTTGTTGGCACGTAGCATTGAATGATTGTGACCTTCCTTCCTCTTGAGTTGAATCTTGCTGTCATGATCCTGGAGGAGATTGGTTCCCACTGCATGAGAGCTTTCGGTGCTCTCGGGGACATCATGATAGCCACTCCAAAACTCGGTGTGCTTGTGGTTGTCGTCTGTGTGACAATATCGGAGTAGATTATTGAATCTCCAGTTAAGAAATTGGAGAGTCCACTCCCATTCCATCTACCTTAGTAGATTCCTAGCACTTCTATTCTATGCCATAACTTCTTGTCTCATTTGCAATCTGGGCAGCCTTGGTAGGTTCATACATGGTGCGGACATTCCATGTCCCCATCCTTACTTTCGCTTTCATTGAGAGAAGACACATCGATCGACTGGCTTCCCGAAGGCTTTCACCAACTGGCGTCATTTCGTCCCTCCGATTCCAGTGAGGAATAAGTCGGTTTACATTTTTTATATTTCGTCTGTGTTTTGAAGTTTTTTTTAACGATTGAATTGGTTTTAAGGGGTAGGGTTGCTAGCCATATGCCCAACCTTCAGTCTTTATCCGGGCTTAGGACCGGCTAGTAATTAGTGAGCTAGTTAACCAGGCGAGGTTCGTAACAATAATTAGTGGATCTATATTTAGTAAAGATTAGTGCATAAATCTGTACACTTACATTCGAGGTGATTTAGCAGTAAACACCGTATACGCTACGGGTGGCAAACGGTGAAAATGACAAGTTCAATATGTCTGGATGTCAACTCATAACTTAGACTAATCCGACAACAGCAGACATCCATTTGTAGGAAATTTAAGAACGACGCATATAAAACACCAATTACTCACAAGTAATATCGCATCCTTACAAGAGCGTCTCCAACGTTCTGTCGTCAGTTCAACCAAGGATTCCTGCGTTTTTAACCCCAAAATATCGCAATTAACTACTGTAGTGACGGGAGAAACGGTAGATTATGTGATGTTTTATTGTGTAATGGGTGTTCCTATTTCAAGATGATTAAATTTCACAGGTGAATTACCGGAGGGTAATGATACGTTGTCGAACACATCTCCCTTGAGTCTCAACCTCATTATGAAAGAATTTTAACTTTATTTGAATTCGACACTTTTCGCGTTATAGGAGGAAAATTATCTCAACAGATAAGTGTGGTAACGGAGGGTTTTCTTGGTTCTCATATTGTAGTGAATCTCTTTATGTTTCAGAATGGAACCATGATACTTATTAACTAAATCAAATCATGTACTTGGTTGGAGTATGGAGATGATACAATTGTAATTCTAAAATAGACGTTATAATGAATGGTTTCATGGTAAAAGCCACTTGAAAAGTTGAAAATTATGTCAAACTAGACGTTATAAGTACTCTTAAACCACGAGCCACAACAAGAATCATTCTATAGCGATCTCACACGTGGGATGAGACTAGGAGTGATGGGAAAAAATGCTAGAAGAGGATGTTCTACAGAAAACAAAATATACTGCAGAGAACTTCAGTCTGTGTGAAGGTCTAAGTTCTTGTTAATTCACAAGCTAATTGAGTTTATGAAATAAAATGCTCAGAATACGATGCAATATACAGACTTCGCATGAAATCAAGGTTAGAAAGAAATGAACTTTGAACGGTTTCCACCCGACCTTTTAGGAATTCAGTAGAGTGCAAAAAGTTTGGAAAGATTTCAGTTATGTTATCGCGTTAAGTTATAAGATCGACTTTGACAATATCGAAATTATTCAAGAAGGCTTTATAAATCATAAAGAAAGTCTTGTAGCTAATTCTCCTCACATAGAGTGGGATAAAAATTGTCGAAATAGTGGTGAAGGGATGAAACAGCTTAATCTGGTTTCAACCCAGTCCAAATACTGACACAACCAACACACATGCGATAAGAACTTCAGGGATATGTGTACACACCTCAATCTGCAGTTCACAAACTCATCACACCTAACACAGTACATAAAGGTCGTTTCCTTTTTTTAATAGTTTTACAGTCCAGAATCATCCATCGAGAAAAAATCAAACCAAGTTATCACACATGAGCTTGAATATTGTAAATTCCGGTATACCATAACTTCGATAAAGCTATTATCGTTAAATATTGAAACTTTAGTTAAAGCAACTTCGTTTTGTTTTACAATCACTGGGAAATACAAATGCAAAATAACGTTCATTAACACCTAGACAGCTGAGCTGACAGGAGGATAAGGAGGTTAGTATGCAAAATAGTACCATGCAGTGAAACACAATCCATATTAGGTTAGTCATCATTAATGTATCAAAAGTCCCAAAGCGAGATAAAAAGAAACAGTGAAACTAAACGACTTGAAACATCACTAAATGTAATTCAGAAACCGAAGTCGGATGGAAAAAGCATCAATGAGGACAGTTCTGCTCTATGCTAACTGGACGACCTCACAAGGCTGAGGATTTCTGATAACCTTGTGTATTCGATTACATTCATTGTGTGAGGGTTCGAACGCCAGTAAATGGAGTAAGGTTTAAAACTGTGACCTATTGATTAATCTGTCTTAGTAGGATTGCTTGCATTCTGTAAAAACACCATTCACGCAACCCTGAGATCCATTGGTGCATGTTTGGGCGGGGGGGGGGGAAATTATCATTAACAAAATAATCTCACTTTGAATCCAGATTCGAAGACTTCGGTGTGCATTGCAAATGCTGCACCATAGGCTTACATACTACTGTTGAGTGTTTCTCAACACTCAGAACGGGGTAATAAGCGCAAATGCGATCAGTGTGTGATGGATTGACATTGTAAAAAGGAGTAGATGTATTAGCTTCACATCTGCTGACGCATAGAAACTCCCTAGATGGGTTCCGAAAAATAGCAGCTTATAATTAATACATAATCCATGCGACAAACAAACCTACTTAAATATAAAAAGGCATATTTTAAAATTCTTCTCAAGTAATAACATATGAATCTGTTTATTACTGTATGAGAGTACATTTCTGTGCCATCAACTCAACTGACCAAGTTGAGTTTCAGTAGAATTGTCAGTTCCCGTAAATTTCTGCAAATATGATTTTTTCAAGAATTTCAGCTTTGTGACTCATAGAAGAGTTTCATATTAATAATTAAAATCTAAACGGATACCATTAGAAAATGAGATACCTGGATGAAGAATAGTTTCGGCTTGCCTCTTAAATCTGAACACTGATCACCACGAAATGGAGCCATTATACGATCTAAAGGTATAGCACCATCTGTTGCATAAACCACACCACCTTCATCACCATGAGAGAGGATGACACAGGCGAAACAGTCGTGATTACGAAGATTTTGCATAGAAACTGAAATTATATAATATTATGAGCATACAATTTTATGAAGAAATCAATGTCAATTGGTGCAAATGTATAAATACACGTCTGCAAATACTCAAACCCGAATTCAACTAGAAAAGTATGCATTATCTTATATACTGTAAAGTATCCTAACCTTTTTCCTCCTTCGAGCTAATATACGGTTCATGTACTAAAACACTTTTGTGGTACATTTATATGAAGTTTAACGTTGTTGCATTTACCTTTCTTACATCTTCCTTTCGATGTATACACAAACAAAATGTTTGATTAACTAGTCACTGGAGGGTAACCAACTTCATGTTGTCTAGTCCTAAAGTGTTGATCGAATTCTATCGGTCACTTTCGCAATGTGATCAACAGACTAGGCAGCTAAGCATCGCGATGCAATTTGATAGACGGATGGAAACAATCAGCAGGAAACCCTGCTTGACCTAGCTTTCGTGCTTGTTGTCCCTTGTTAGCAAGGCGTATCTGTAACCTCGATGGGAAATGATGTCCTGCCTGAGATTCCAACACCGGTTACAGATACGCCTTGCTAACGAGTGCCAACAAGCACAAAATCTAGGTCAAGCAGGGCATTCTGCCAATTCATTACATCCAAATAACATCTAACGCAGTGTTTCGTGTACATATTTCCATTTATCAGCCTGAAAGGAGCAAGAACAAACACTGTAATGGATTTGTATAACTTATGATATTTAAAACGATATACTGAAATAGTACATTAATGGTTCAGTCAAAACAAAATGATTATCGAGTCAAGTCAAATGCAGTCAGAAACCTTGTGCATATTCGTGTAGTGAGGAATGAATCACACATATTGTGTAATGGCTAGTGATACTATCTGGTTACCCAAACCTCGGTAGGTGGAGCAAGATTCGAATTCATGACTCATTGGTTGTAAGTTATATCCTTAAACCAATAAGCCGCAGCTCTACAAAACAACGGCAAAGCAAACTAAGTCCCAAATGTCATCTAATGATATATATATATATATATTATAAGAACGAGATTTGTCATGAAAGGTAGGTGGAGATGCGAAAATGAATAAGAATGTTCAATTACAGATAGACAACAACCTATCTTGCCAAATGGTGATCGGGAGTTCCTTAGGGTGAGTGTTGGTAAACGTTTTTATAACTAATCATTAGCTAACAAAAATCAAGCGTACAATTAATGAACCAATATTCTACCACAAAAGATAGGTCGATAACATGTTTACTGGGTGACAAGAATTTACATCACGGATCATATCTGCCTGTGATCATTAATAATGTCCATAAAAACATTAAATTCACTAAATTTAACTTTATGATCTTTATGTTCAACGTAAACGGCGCAGTTGAAAGGTCTGTTTATCGCATAGACGAATGGTATGATCTCTGTGTATCAAATCAACTATAAATGAAAACTTATCAACAGATAAGTTGTTCTGTAGTTCACAAAGAAAATATTCAGCGGGTAAACTTCACGAGGAATAACAGGTATCCCTCATACGTTACTTCCTAACACGTACCAATTCAAGTACATATACTCAAAAAGCTATATTGGGAGGAGCAAAAGAAGTGCTTACTTCAGATATTTTAGACAGGTCCTGAATAATCTAAGATTGAGAAGAACACCTGGTCTCAATGGTGCATCTACTAACTACTTATTAGACATAGGATATCAAGTGGATATTTTCGAGCTAGTCAATGAATTGCACTCTGTGATCTGCATTTGCCTGGAGACGACAACACTGATGGGCTAAGCTGCAAACAAGCGGAACAGCAGTCCGATGTTTAGATCACTCGACTCTGTTTGTGAAAATCCTCAGGGTAGAATGATTGGTTTTTGACTTCAACTTCAACTATTAGAAACCACTATGATCAGACACATTTAGCTAGGTATGTGTTCAAAAAAACCTGTAGTGAACCTCCAACTTTTCTGTTAGACTAACGTTCTACCCCTTCACTTGTTTGACTGCATTAATATCCCTCAATTAGATATGTTGAATATTATTAGCTTATTTACTCTTCAAATTACGTACTCTTTTTCGAAGTTCTATAATATTCGTTTTTCATAATCCTATTCAGACTTTACGAGAACTTTCATTCTAATAAGGTATATATTCACGATATAATTACATGACATTTTAAATTCGCACAGCTGCCTTGCTTTTTTATTCTAGTGCACTGATTTAACTGATCTAACTGAACTGATGCATTTTATGTCAATATTTTACTGTAATTTGTTATCTGAAATATTATAAATTGTACACAGCTCGAAAGAAAACCAACAAAACACTAAAATGAGTCTACATAATTTTGCTTTTGTTCTTCACAAACAGTAGCGATATCCAGTTCACCATCGATTCCGCTCCTCATAGAGGACACTTTTGTCTTCAGATGTAAAATGGTTTCAAAATTCTTGTCGTATTTTCGTTATGCGGTTCAACACACCTAGGTCTTTCTAATATATAAACTAATATGGGTATTTATTCCCATTTTACAGGAATTAAATAACATTTTTACTTTGTAATATTTGAATAGGTTAGACTTACCAGCTTGAACTACAGAACATAGCGTTTCAGATGTTGGGTTTGGATGTACAATAACTTTGAAATCAAGATTCTGAAAGGCTTTCTTAATATGCTGTACATCCACTGAAGAACCATTTCTTGGAGGTAAACAAAGGATAGGATCAAAATTGTCAATTGAAAAGACAACACACAGTCCACGTTCAGTGCCATCTGTAGCATACACATATGAAGAAGGATTTCGATCGGATGGAATACTGAAAACTGGTAGTAAAGAAGTGCATGATTTAGAGTTTTTCTGTGAACTAGTTCGCGTCCTACTACTTTGTTCATTCTGTGGGCTATCACAAAGTAAGCTTGAGCAGGTTTGAGGTAAATGGTGGTTTTTTTTTGCGACAAAGAGATTTCTAAAATCAACCAATAGCAAGGAATTAGAATTACTTATTGCAACCATCCACTTCCTCTTCCATCAGGGTATACACTGGATCCTAAATCAAGTATTCAAATTCGGAAAAGAGAATGAAAACGATATAATAGGTTGATCCGAAAATACATCCATAAATGAAGAGCTTAAACCTGGTGTCCCAAAGAGTTTACTATAATGTATGCGGTTACTTCTAATATATTGTTGATTCTTACGTGTATGCTCAGTAATTTTCGATTATGCTGTTTACAGACAGGGTATACCTGTCTAGACCAACTAGTAGAGTGACTTGAACTTTGAGTAACTACTTTCGTTTCACAGTTCAGTTAGACGCAGACTATACATAAAGCTTGTACGCATAAATAACCAGAGGTGCATTTGCAGTTGGCGATGACTGAAACTTCACTGAAAGCACTGATTTCGAATGATGTCAGCTAGCATTACTTTCTCTTGTTGAAGTTATTTTCATGGTTAGACGAAGCATTCAGTGAATGCAAGAAGTAAAACAAAACTCGCGAGGGAATATTCGAAAGTACGCCCTTGTATAACTAATCTACAAATACTTAGGAACTTTAAGGTAATGTATTATGTATCATGGGGTCAGTCAATACGAACATGGAACCTGACACAACTAAGTTGCCACATTTTATTAAAACAAGGCTAAAAAAGAAGGATGAAGAGATGGAAAGCCATAAAAAAAGGAAGACTAGAGCAAATAACAAAACGCGGCGTAATGGTTGAGAACGCATTTACACCACTAAGATCGATTCCAGACCGAATCAGGTAGAGCATTTAGCCAACAGTTCTGGTCTGCATGCGGAACCCGACATGAAAGTTTACATTTTTCTACATCCCTTGAGCAAAGTCAGAGACTTCAAAGAGTGATGTTAAGTTTTCTTTCGATGACTCTTAGCTTTTCTTTATTCCAAGTCTACTTTAGTGGGGCTGTGGCTCAATGGTTTATAGAGGTGACTATCAATCAGTGAGTCACGGGTCCGAGGCCCGCTCCACCTACAGAGGTTTGGGGAGTCAGGTAGTATCACTAACCCTCACACAATAGGTGTGGCTCATTGCTTACACCACGAATGTGCACAAGGCTGAGTAGATTGCATAATATTACTACTTTAGTTAATGTAGTTATTGCGAGAAGCCAATCGTGCTTCTCATATCATAGTAAGTAGAGTTACTTATTCATGACCTCCAACAGCTGGGCTAAATAATCATCCATTTTGAACCTGACCCATCAGCTGATATTAGTCTTTTAAATGACTTCACTGCAAACGCTATGCGTAACACTGCTTCCAAAAATAGTATCATTTGGCGTCTACAGGATGATGCCATATGAAAATTACCATAACGTATTACTGAATATCATAGAAATTCTAAATAATGCCCATATATTATATAACTTCCATTTGAAGTTCTCTCTTTTCCTTTGGAGCATAAAAGTTGATGGCTGAGTTAGATGTAATAGAGCTACCGGTTTTATAGTACTTAAAACTGGTTTATAAACCAATGAATGAAATGAAATTGATCACAAATGTGTAAACAAAGTTAAAGACAAATTTGTCTATGGTATGAAATACATTTATTTAGGCTGATATGAATTAGATCTAATAACAAATTTGTTGAAATTTCTATGCATTGATTTAGGTTATCTTGAGGCCTCCAACTAGGTAGTCTGCACCTCATACGATACAGACCAACAGTTAGAGACTTTGAGGACTGGTGTCAAATCTTCGTCTAGCTACCACTCAACACTCTACACTTCAGTTCGCATCGTATGTCAAAATAGAAAGTGCTCCGGCATGCGTAACATATATTCAAACCATAGGAATCGATGAAGGTTTCCAACCTCATCGACTGACTTATATTTCTTTCCTATTACTCATAACTCAGCAATGCTACGAAAAAAATGTGGTAAAAAACTGATAATCTCTTCACACTTTTTTCCAGGAGTCAGTTTTCAACCACATAATAGGACAGGAGAGACTACAGTGAGGTAGATTCATCCCTTAATATGTAGTCAGATATCTTGCTGGTGGAAGAGATGGTGTACGTTAGCAAATGTCAAACGGACCTTTCGGATTCAAGCTGACGCTTCATAAGTGAGCAGCCCATTTGGGCTGATGCGACTTTCAAAGCGGTGTCAATTAATTGCCACTTCTCCTACACACCTTTTTCCACGTTGATATTAGTCTTTTTCTACTCACTTGATGTTTGCATGCCACTGTGAAGTGTGGCAAATTGAACTGAAGCACTTTTGTGTTACGTTGTACGTTGAATTTGTCCTTCACTCTATCGGATTTTAGTACCACGGTGAGTAAAATATCTATAAATTGCAACTATTCAATATCCTATGAAGCCTTTCACCAAAGCGTCGGACGGTATTACCTGTGGTGAATGGGTCTTGTGAACAATATATCATAAAAACATGCTGCAAATCGCTTTCTATTCAAAATAACAGAACAACGTAACTTATTTTTAACAATATTAGGGGTTGTTGAAATTCAGTAAAGATCAGGCAAATAGCAATGTATCAACATTGTATGTCCCATTAGCTAATCAAAGATCTTCTGTAGACCCCCATTCTACATGAGATTTATGCGAAAAACGGTGTATGATTATGGTACATTTAGCTGATAGGAGTTCCCTAGGATTAGTTAGCAGTAACAAAATGACTTAAGAGAGAAAAGCAAAACGAAAACATATGTGAAGTAGTAGAAGTGGAAGACATACGTAACTCTATCCATCAGCTGGAAAAAAACCTCAATTCTCATGTCATAAAAAACATTCTTTTCTTTACCTGGGATACTACATATATGCATGCTTCATGACCAAAGCGTTAAAAAGGTAACTAAAAGGTGGAGATTATGGAGTGTTTTCTGAGTGAAATGTGTAGAGATATGCATATTTATTTACTCGTGTATTAAGCAATTCGCGCTAATTCTTATCAAGATAAAAAAGTATTTATGCTTTTCTTGTTGGCAAAAATCACCAAAATAATATTCTTTACAAATAAAAGAAATAAACTACTTTAAAACTTACGTAGTAATCCAATAAAAGTACATGTATAAATTGTGAAGAATATTTTCAACCTGAGGTTTGGAAGTTCAGAGTGAGTTGTTCTATGAGCTAGGGTTTTAGCTGGTAAGCCTTTCAATGTCATGATGGAAATTATCATCAATCCATCAGAATTTCAAGAGAATATGATATCACCAATAACTTCCGCCCGAAATATTATCTAGTGAACAATACTGTACTACGTACTATATCAAAAAAAAAATCTAACTTGAAATTACACCCTGCTACGATGTTCAAATATTATTCTTGCATCATCAGCCAGAGGCTTCAAAGACTGATGTCATATGGTTTTCCAGGCTGAACCTATTTCAGTTGACTTTGCACAACAGCGTAGCAAGGTGACCAGGCGTGTGTAACACATGTCCTAGCTAGATGAATCGATGAAAGTTCACAGCCTCGTGAAATGACATACTTCTTCCAACTAAACTCCATGCCTGGTTTCTGCATTTCTGACAGTGGTAGCGCAGCACACAGTCTTCGCTATAAGGGCATGAGGCATGGCCAAATACATGAAGCCTTTTCAAGTCTTCTATATTCGTTGGCAACGTTTCACAGTCACAGGGAACCAGACCCTTAATGTGGAAATGGATATTACGACAGAGCCATTGAATGGCGTAATTTGGCGAACTTCAATTGAGCCTTTTGTATCTGTGAAGCTGTTTTGTCAGTCATTGACTCATCACGGCTGATCTGACTTCCCAATTGCATAAAGTGGTCGAGGCGCTCAACAACTTCACTCCCTATTGTTAAATAAGGCACCCACTTGAAAAATCCTGAGGCAACAACGTGAGTTTGGTTGGCGAGAAACGCACTTCAAACATTCTTAAATTGCTATCCAAAAGACTCTGCATCTCATCACCATTTCTAAATAACAGAATTATGTTATCAGCGTACTCTAGGTCTATCAAGAAGTCTCCTGTGACAAGGTCAACTCGAGTAAAGTCAGACAAGGAGAGGGAGACCTCCACAAACGCATTTATGATAAAACCAAATAAGAATGAAGATTGTGGTTATCTTTAATGGACACCAATTAACGCACACAACTCGTCTGAAAACTCACTACAGAATTGCGCGCACACATGAGTGTTTCAGTACGGAGCCTTCAAGAGCATGATGTACTTATTCGATACCCCTTTCAGTGAGACAATGACACAAAGCCTCTTGATCGATGGAGTTAAATGCCACCTTCAGGTTGAGAAATACAGCTAGTGTTGGTGTGTTTGTGTTCCAGAACCTCATGGAGGGTAAATATCGATACACACACGGTTAGATCTGAGGCCAACATGGTTTTATCGGGTTTTCTGTTTCCGAGCTGTACTTATAGAACTTAGAATCACGGACACTATGTTCATCAGACGAATTCCTGTGCTTATTACAAGAGGATTTTTCTCCTTTCTTAAAAACTAGGATATTCAGTGACTGAAACCAGTTAACGAGGATTATATCTGATAACAATATGCTTGCTAATATTTTAGTTAAACCAATGAATAATCCTTAACTGCCATCCTTAAGTACGTCTGTTACTAATCCATCTGACCCAACTGCTCCCTTATGTTTCAGGTTACTTACAACCTTCTCAAACTTCGATAAGAGCTACAATCTTCGTGTTCCATTCAAGATCCGACTTAATAGCAGGATATGGGATAGTAGATGAAGGCCAGTTCAACTGATTCTCAAGGTATTCTGCGCATCGTTTCAGTTACCTCCTCATCATCATATCATCATCATTATCAACATAGGACCAGGCATTACTGCGTAACGGTCCGAGTTGCCACACCTCATATCAGCACATCAAGTAAAAAGGTAGTGAGGTGAAGGATGAAGATAAGTGAATGCAGTCAAAAGAAATATAAAGTATGAGAAGAAAGGAAAGAGGAGTGACAAAATAGTGAGATTCGGTATAGCGTTGTTAAGATGAGGATAATGTGTGTATACATCTGCGCCACTGACTTCGGTTCTGAGCCATATCACCTAGGGTCT